ATATCACATGATCTCAGGAGATTGGTGAAACCAGGATTTCAGGATCCCAGAGACAACAGACCCCCAGGAGATTTTACACGTAGGAGCTCAGGATCACTGGATCACAGAGACAGCTAGACTCTGAGGAGTTCTGACACAACAAAGATAACAGGAACAGGGTCTAGTCAGAGACAGTGAGTGCAGGTAGCACTAGAGGTATCCAGATGGTAAAATGCAAGCACAAGAACATAAGCAACATAAACCAAGGTTACTTGGCATCATCAGAACCTAGATCTCACAGTATAACAAGTCCTGAATACACCATCACACTGCAAAAACAAGATACAGTTTTTAAACCAATTCTCATAATGATGATAGAGGATGATAATAAGGACATAAATAAGTCCCTCAAAAATATATAGGAAATACAGGTAAATATGTAGAAACCCTTAAAAAGCAAACACAAAAATCTTTTCAAGAATTATAAGAAAACACAACCAAAGATGTGGAGGAATTGAAGAAAAACACCCATGATTTTTTTATTAGATATTTTATTTACAATTCAGATGTTATACCCTTATCCCATTCTCCCCTGCCCAGCAGCACTGTATCCCATCCACTCTCCTCTTTCCTTCTATGAGGATGTGTCCCCAAACTCCCACTCCCATCTCCCCACTCTCGAGTTCCCCCACACTCAGTGTCCAGCCTTCATGGGACCAAGGATCTCCTCTCCCACCTATGCCCTACAAGGCCATCCTCTTCTACATATACAACTGAAGCCATAGGTCCCTAACTATATGCTCCAGGCTAGTGGTTCAGACCCTGGGAGCTCTGTTTGGTTGGTATTGTTGCTCTCCTCATGGGGCAAACCCTTTCAGCTCTTTCAGCTCCTTCTCTCTAACCATTCCATTGGGAACCTCTTGATATGTTTAATGGTTAGCTGTGAGCATCTGCTTCTGCACATGTCAGATTGTGGCATACCTCTAAGGAGACAGCTATATCAGGCTTTTGTTGGCATGCACAACTTGGCATCCACATCAGCATCTAAATTTGGTTACTGCACATGGGATGGATACCCAGGTACAATGGTACCCAGATGACCCCTCCTTCAGTTTCTGTACCACACTTTATCTCCGTATTTACTCCCTTGAATATTTTGTTACGCCTTCTAAGAAGGACCGAAGCACCCACACTTGGCCTTCCATCTTCTTGAGGTTCATGTGGTCTGTGAGTTGAAGTTTTGGTATTGTGAGCTTCTGGGCTAATATCCAATTATCAGTGAGTGAAAACCATGTGTGTTCTTTTGTGATTGGGTTACCTCACTCAAGATAATATTTCCTAGTTCAATCCATTTACCTAAGAATTTCTCAAATCCATTGTTTTTAATAGCTGAGTAATACTCCATTGTGTAAATGTACCACATTTCTTGTATCCAGTCCTCAGTTGAAGGACATCTGGGTTCTTTCCAGCTTCTGGATATTATAAACAAGGCTGCTATGAACATAATAGAGCATGTGTCCTTGTTTTATGTTGGAGCATCTTTTGAGTATACGACCAGGAGTAGTATAGGTGGGTCCTCAGGTAATGCTATGTCCTATTTTCTGAGGAACCACCAGGCTGATTTCCAGAGTGGTTCTACCAGCTTGCAATCCCACCAAAAAAGGAGGAGTGTTTCTCTTTCTCCACATCCTCACCAACATCTGCTATCATTGGACTTTTTGATCTTAGCCATTGTGACTCGTATGAGGTGGATTGTCAAGGTTGTTTTGATTTGCATTTCCCAAATGACTGAGGATATTGAACATTTCTTTAGTTGCTTCTCGGGCATTCGAATTTCCTCAGTTGAGAATTTTTTGTTTAGCTCTGTACCCCATTTTTATTAGGGGTATTTGGTTGTCTGTAGTCTAATTTCTTGAATTCTTTGTATATATTGGATACTAGACCTCTATCAGATGTAAGATTGCTAAAAAACTTCCCAATCTGGTGGTTCCCATTTTGTCCTATTGAGTGTGTCCTTTGCCTTACAGAAACTTTGCAATTCTATCAGGTCCCATTTGTCAATCCTTGATTTCAGAGCATAAGTCATTGATGTTCTGTACAGGAACTTTCCCCCTGTACTCAAGTATTTGAGGTACTTCCTCACCTTCTCTTCTACTAGTTTGAGTGTATCTAGTTTTATGTGAAGGTTATTTATCCACTTGGACTTGAACTTTGTACAAGGAGATAAGAATGGACCAATTTGCATGTTGTCCTCCTATTGAACCTGCACCATTTGTTGAAAATGCTATCCTTTTTCCACTGGACAGTGTTAGCTCCTTTGTCAAAGATCAAGGGACCATAGGTGTAACAGTTCATTTCTTGGTCTTCAATTCTATTCCACTGTTCTTCGTGTCTATCTCTGTACCAATACCATGTAGTTGTTATCACTATTGCTCTGTAGTAAAGCTAGAAGTTGGGGATGGAGATTCATCCAGAAGTTCTTTTATTGTTTAGAACAGCTTTTCCTATCTTGGGTTTTATCGTTTTCCAAATGAATTTGAGAATTTCTCTTTCTAACTCTGTGAGGAATTGAGTGGGAATTTTGATGGAGATTGCATTGAATCTGTAAATTGCTTTCCGCATTTTAGGACATGTACCACTTTACTCATTTTTTTTTACCTTTTTTGATTTTTGTTTTCCTGTATTTTAAAGATATTTTATTCTATTAAAGGGCTTTTACTTTTTTATCAATGGTTTTCTGTATTTTTTTCATAAATTATTTATATCCTCTTTAAGGGACAGGATTATCTTCATGAGATAGAATTTTAGCCCAGCATCCTGGTTTTCAGGTGTATTAGGCTATCCTAGCCTTGCTATATTGGAAGAAGTAGGTTCTGATGGTGTAAGTATAATCATTCTTAGTTTCTCTAGTTATTTGCCAAGAAGAGAGCAATGCTTGTCCCTGTAATTTCTCCATCACTATGGACTGCAGATGTCCAATATAGCAGAGTAAGAGGATGAGTCTATGGCTTAACTTTTATACCCCAGAATAAAATGTAATGATAAATTTTGGAAACAGACATGAAAGAATGACATAGAAACCTGGTTTCATCTGGATTTTTCTTGCTTAAAATATTTAACACAACTGGAATGGAATTTTATCATTTTTAATCTTTCTGTGGATTTGATATATGAGACAAATTTTTAAGATACATTAATGCATTTTGTGGGCAGTATCATTATGGTGTATATGTGGAGGTAAGAAGACAATTTTGGTAGCTGGTCCTTGCCTTCATCATTTTGAGTGAACTTAGTTCCTCAGGTTTGATGGCAAGTATCTTTACTTACTCAATCTCCTCTCTAGGTCAAGACTTGATAGAAAAAGGACCCGAGATAAAACAGTAAGTTTATATCATGACCTTAAGTCACACAAAGTACAAAGACAACAGAACATATATGCATCCATCTAAGATGCAGGAGTCTGATGAAGATAAAAGTCTCAGGATATAATTCTGCTTACTGATGGGAAAATCGTACACCATGGGTTGTTATGTTCAGGGTGGAAACAAATGTTAAAGGCCAATATCAGCACAGCAGATACAGAGACCTTCTTTGCAAGCCAGGTGTAGTGAGTTCCTTGACTATAATACCTAAAGCAGAAGGAAGTGAGGAATCCTCACAAAGTTTCTTTTGACCACCGTACATATGCCATGACCGATACCCCATTATGTAATTGTACTAAATAATATAATATAATATAATATAATATAATATAATATAATATAATATAATCACTTTATGTCAAGTTGACATAAGTTATCTTAAAGGAGGGACCTTCAATTCAGAGAACTCTTCCATAAGATCTAGAGGCAGGGTATTTTTATCTTTTCTTTTCTTTTAAATTTTTAATTTTTTTATTAACTTCTTTTTTACAGTTCAGTCATTATCCCCTTCAAGATCCACCATCCCACAATTCCTCATCTCATTCTTCCTCTTCCAGTCTCCAAGAGAATATCCCGAATCCCCCAACTCCCCAATTCCCCACAATACCCACAGCCTGGCATCCACAATCCCTGGGGCATCTTTTAGATATATACACAAGAGTGGTATACCTGAATCTTCAGGTAGATCTATTTCCAATTTTCTGAAGTACCCTCATATTGATTTCTTGATGTGTTTTTCTAGATCTCAATCCCATAACCTGTGTAGGAGTGTTTCTCTTACTCCATGACCTCCTCAACACATGCTGTCACCTGAGTTTTATCTTAGCCA